GGGTTTCAGTATCCACCTCAAACTATCTCAAGCAGAAAATGAATTTATTGGATCATGCAGCTGTAAAGTCCAAGGATGCTGCTACTTTAGGTAGATTTAGAGATTTCATCAGAACTCCAACTTCCTTTATAACCTATGCCCTCTTTCCTCCCATTGCAAATAGGCTTCTTCCACATGGCCACCAGCAGTCTAAACGGCTCTAATAGAAAAGCCTCTTTCTTTCTTTTTTTTTTGAGACACAGCCTCATGCTGAGCCCCTGGGTAGAGTGCCATGGTTTCACTGCTCACAGCAACCTCCAACTCCTGAGCTCAAGCGAGTCTCCTGCCTCAGCCTCCCAAGTAGCTGGGACCACAGGTGCCCGCCCCAATGCCCAGCTGTTTTTTGGTTGCAGCCATCATTGTTGTTTGGCGGGCCCGGGCTGGGGATTCGAACCCGCCACCTTAGGTGTACGTGGCTGGCGCCTTAGCCACTTGAGCCACAGGCGCCGAACTGAGAAGCCTCTTTCTTAATATATGTATCCTACTGCAGGGAAAGCTCCATTTATTATGCCCTGCTTGGGTCATGTCTACCACCAGTATGGTGCACCAAGACTGACAGCATCACCCAGACCACGTGGGGCAGCAGGGAGCTCTGTGGAGAAGAGGTGGAGCTTACTGTAGAACTGGGGCTGGCAAACATTTTCTGTAGAAGGGCAGATAATAAACATTTTAGGCTTTATGAGTACACACTATCACTGCTGCATGTTCTCCTCCTGTTAAACTTTGTTAGTGTAGTTCACCAAGAAAAGAGTGTTAGGAACAATAGAAATTGAGCAGAGGAGGACAATAGGGACAAAGAAAAGAGAAAATGAAGAAAAACAGGGGAAGGCACATAAAGGAATATTTTAGAAAGTCTTAAGGCCATATTTTTTACCACAAAACAACAAAACAGAAGAAGCACTAGAGATGTGAAGCTGGAAAAGCTATTCTTAGCCCTCCATCCTCCGTAAAAATAGGAAAACTCAGTTTCCTTAAACGTGAGCAATAGGAAAAAGATCGTGGTCAAAGTCCACACAAAGTTCTTACAGGAAGGATGTAATATTCAAAATATGCAAATATCCTTTCCCAGTGTGTAGTTTATCTATTTGCTTTGGTTGTTGTCTCCTTAGCTGTACAGAAGCTTTTCAGTTTAGTTAAGTCCCATTTGTTTATTTTTGTTATTGTTGCAATTGCCACTGAAGTCTTCTTCATAAAGTCTTTTTCCAGACCAATATCTTCCAGTGTTTTTCCTATGCTTTCTTTGAGAATTTTTATCATTTCACGCCTTAAATTTAAGACTTTTATCCATCTTGAATCAATTTTTGTGAGTGGTGAAAGGGGGAGGTGTCCAGTTTCTGTCTTTTACATGTGGATATGTAGTTCTCCCAGCACCATTTATTGAAAAGGGATTCAGTCCCCCAGTGTATGTTCTTGTTTGGCTTATTGAAGATTAAATGGCTATATAAAACCTTGATAACTAGGATTTATAGAGAACTCAAATTAATTTACATGAAAAAAGCCAACAATACCACATATCAATGGGCAAGAGACATGAATAAAACCTTCTCTAGAGAAGACAGATGGGCTCGGTGCCTGTGGCTCAAGTGGCTAAGGCGCCAGCCACATACACCTAAGGTGGCGGGTTCA